GGTTTGACTTTTTTACTGACAATATGATAATATGTAAGGTATCATTATTATTGAATTGTTTTCCATGGAAGTTCTTTAAGATGTATTTTTTATTGTGTGTATATTTTTGTGTCTCTGAGTTTGTGCACATGTGTGCAGGTACTCTTGAGGCTAGAGGTGCATCCAGAACTGGAATGATAGGAAGTTATGACCTAGGGTGCTGGGAGCCAAACTAAGGATAAGTAGGCTGCTCTCCTTACCTACTAAGCCACCTGTCCAGTCTTTACTGGGCTATATGAGTTTAACAAATACCATATCAACATTTTCATGTTTCAAAGGTCAAAAAAGAGGTTGTATGCAGAAACTTGAGCAGATATGGAACATTTCTACTGTTAGAAGTCTCAATTCAGTAGTTAAATGGGATAAGGAAAATAACACGCTAGTTTTTCAGTTGAAGAGAATGTCTTTGTGACCTTTACTTAACAGCTCTAAGAAGATACCTGATACTAGAATTCAGTTGATTGTAAACTTTACAGTAGTTATCTACAAGTCTCAGTTCAGAAACACTCAAGGCTGGTCTGACTGGAGAGACAGCAGAGCCCACAACAGTGGACCAAGGCCATGTGAGAAGGCTCTAAGCAGAGAACTAACTGATAGGAATACAGCTCTGTTTCACTTTAAAAAAAAAAAAAACACAGCAAAGCAAGTCAATCCTTAGTTGATTAAAGATACTATTCTTCATGACTTAGATTCGCTCATTAAACTGTGAAAGATTTTGATTATTAGTGTTCTCATCATTTTTATGTAGATTGGGATTCTGAAAAGAAAATTGCAGTTTGATGGTTTGTGATCTTAGCCTGCCTTCTGAATGCCACGTTACATGCAAACATCCCGTATCTGGCTTCAGTTTGACTTTTTAAAGGGACTTTGAGTGTACAGCAACTCCAAATGACATGTTAATTATAACCTTTGGTCCTGGTTTGAATACTTTTCAAATCCTACTTTACCACATTGTGAAGTTCAGAAAGAAGTTCACAGTTTGCCTTGAGTGAGTGGTCTTCATAGCTGAGTAAAGGTTTTGCTAGGCATTTGGTTTTTACCTATTTAGATGATTATGTACTTCCGAGTTTATCAGAAAACTGAAGAATGTGTCTACAGATTTCACTGAGTCAAATTGATAAAATCTCTAAAGTAGTTATAGTTGATAAAATGCTTTCCTGTAATATGAAAAAAACCTCTGAATTTGAATTATTTATACTATGGTTAAGTTTTAGATACTGTCATATTACTTCTGTATAGTTTTTTTGTGGAAATGGAAGAATATAAAAACATAAATATGTAACTTGTTTGTTTGTTTGTTTGTTTCTGTGTATAGCTCCACCACCAAGTATGTTAGTGAAGGATGAATATGTTCATGACTTTGAAGGACAGCCATCCTTACCCACTGAAGGACATTCAATCCAAACCATCCAACATCCACCAAGTAATCGTGCATCAACAGAGACATACAGTGCTCCAGCTCTGTTAGCCCCATCAGAGTCTAACGCCACGAGCACCACCAACTTCCCCAACATTCCTGTGGCTTCCACAAGTGAGTGTTGCAGTCAGTCAGATCGAGTTGAATATTTATGTGTAGTCACTTGGAGCTGTTGTGGTCTTTCTGGTGCTGGGCATGGTATAGAGCCTGATACATGCCAAGTGACTTCTCACTCCTCAGCCGGGAAGGAAACATGTTAATTGGTGTTTGAGTTCATTCTGGAGAAAGTAGTGTTTGTAATTTATTTAAAGTTTCTAATACTGATACACAGTCAAATACAATGACCTTGATTATAATCTTAAATTGAGATCTTACATATATTGTTTACAATTACATATATAATAACGACGTCTCCTGTATTTTTCAGATAAATTTTAGAGAAATATTTAAGTAGTTAAGCAATAATTTTTATTTAATTTTTATTATTGTATGTGTTTAAATGTGTAATTGTGTGTGTGTGCGTGTGTGTGATGAGCGTGATGAGCACATGTGAGTCACTGTGTTTGTGGAGTCATTTCTGTCCTTCCATCTTTACCTGAGTTTGCTGACTCAGGTTACCAAGCTTCTGTATCTAGAACCTTTACCTATTAAGCCATCTCACGGGACCAGCAAACAGCTTTGAACCAAGATGCTTATACAATGTGTCAATGCAATTGAAGCCCTTTTTTTGTCCATTATTTTATCATTATTTTATTAACCTTGTAATAGTCTTCTCAGTTTTCTTTTGTGACTACTTGGGAATAAAGGCTCTTAAACAGACTTGCTTTCAATATTTATTTCCCGGGTAGACATTCAAGTATTTGACCAGTTTCAGTAAAAAGCTACCCCCCCCCATCTTTGAAAAGGATTTTTGTGGTAAAAATGTTACCTTTTACATCATATCATAGGAGACTTAGTCTCTGTTCTCTTCTCTTTTCTTCCTTCTTTTCCTTTCTTTGCTTCTTGATCACTTCAGTTAAGACCTCGCCCATGCTAGGTAAATCTTGACCACTAAACTATACCTTCAACCTAGGCTTTTAACCTAGGCTGAGTTTTTCTGGGAGCCTAACAAAGATGGTGTGATCTGGTTATATTTGCTATTTGCTTTTACAACACCAAAGATTGAACAACTTCCTGCTTTGCAAAATAATTTGCTTGTTTAACTTAAAATTTTTAAAATCTTTTTTTTAATGTGTATGATATATATGTGTATGTGTGAATGGTGGTGTGTATGCTGTGGTATACAGGCAAAAGTCAGGGACAGCTTTTATCAGTGGTCCGTCCTTTTCATCTTGCCTGAGTCAGGGTCTCTTGTTTGAGCTGCATCTGCCAGGCTAGCTGTCTGGTGAGCCTTTGATTCTTGCCTCGTAGGAGGAAATGCAGATGCAGACTGTTGTTTATAGCTTTCTGTGGGCTCGGGGTTAGGGTTAGAATTTAGGTTCTCATGCATGGGGAGCAAGTGCTTTACGCACAGAGACATCTTAGCCCCTAATTATTATTTTTAAATTTAAATGAGTTATAGAGCATGTGAAAAGTGTTAATTGCATTTGACTGCTAAGAGCATTATTTTAAAACCTATATTGGCAAGAGATTTTGATTGCTAAGGATTGCTATTTTGTTACTACCGAAGAGAATGTTATTTTATCTATGTTAGACTCAACATTGAACTTTTAATCTTTGGGATAAGTAGATTTGTTTCTAAAATTTTTTGCCCCACCCCTTTTCTTCCAGGCTGGGGTCTAAGCTAGTGTGTCACCCATGATAGGCAAGATGTTTCCCCCTGGGCACGCCCAGCCCTTGTCATATTTTCACAATTCTCAGTCCATTTCCACCACTTGAAAGCAGTATTTTTCAGTGGTCACAATCTAAGCATAGATGATTTGTGTGCACATTTGATGTATGTGTGTGTATAGCTTTTTGGGGGCAGGAGTTGAGACAAGGTTTCACTCCATAAGCCAGATCAGCTTTGGACTCCTCATTTCTGTGTCTCCACCTCTGTAATGCTAGGGTTACATGTATGGCCGCATGTCACCTACCTCGCATTTCTGGCTTCCTGTCTGTACTTACTCATTTGGTGTGTGGTTGACAGAAATGGTGGAGATGGAAAATAGGGTAGATGACATCCTCTTATGTGGCGGTCACTGCTGGGGCCCAGGCCTGCACTTGTTCTATAGTCTCTGGAGGTCAGACTTTGTTTAGGGATTTCCAAAGTGACTTCACCCTGACCTTTTGCTCTCCTTCTTTCCCTCCCTTCTTTTCCCCTCATTTCCCCTCATTTCCTCTCCCCTTCCTGCTGGGAGAGTTGTGCTTGAAGGCCAGTAAAAGATGTGAATGAAATATACTCAGTTCTGCCTTAGTACTTTTTAAAGTAGATTTTTGTAATTGAAATGTAAATACTGTAGATTTTAGAACTTGTGGTGAGATTTTTTTTCCTTATATCTAAAAAAACATTGGTAGAATTAACGGAAAGACACTAGACAAGCAGAGGGCTGGGAAGGCCTTTGCGTGAGCTGGGCTCACACTCTGACACTGGTGGATTAAAGAGTTACGCTATGTAGGGAGGAGACATTGTCCTTGTTTTTGTTTTTATTATTTTGAGACAAGAATCTTATCAGTTATAGCTCAGCTGGCCTTGAATTTGTCTTGCTTAGCTTTCCTCAGGCTGGGATTATGGTCATACCTCTATGCCTGGCAAGTTCCCTTTTCTTGATATTTTGGATTGCAGTGACTTAGTTTCTGATTGCATTCCACAGTGTCAGTGACAAATAATAGTAAGAACCTTTCAGTGTTTTCCACATGAGATAAACATGGCTTAATGCTTGCTTTAAGAAATACACTTTTTCTACTTACAAAATAAAACCTTAAAATGCCAGGTAATATAACATAATGAAACTTATTTTGAGCAGAATAGGAGCCAAATGAAATATTTTCTTGCTGTATTACATATAAATATGGCTGTACAGTGACATTCTTGACATGATTCTGATTGTGTAAAAAGGACATGAAAATGTTTGAAATTGACTGATAGGCTTTTGTTGGTTGTTTTACAAATGCTGTATTGGTTTGACGTGGAACTAGTTGTTTTATTTTCTGTTATTTTTCACCCTTGCCATCCTCTTCCATCTGAACCATGTGCCTCCTGTGCTTGCTGTTGTTGTTAGATGCCATTGTCCTGCATCATCAGCCTCAGTGTCATGATCACTAACTTTATGTTGGCAACATTTTCTTGCCTGGGGTTTGAGGATCCTAATCAGTTAAGTCCAGCGTGCTCTGGAAGAAGTGCCGGAAGGTTGAGCTGATGAGCTTCTAATGCTGTTAGGATAGCCTAGACATGCAGCTGCATGTCTCCACATTTGAGACTATCTGTGAAGAAATAGGCCACTAATGCTAGGAAGCCATGGCTTAACAAAGGTTTTGAACATCAACTGAAGGTTTGCCTTTATAGATGCTTTTAGATTTTTATTTGATTGGCAATGGATGAGTTCTACTTTTGGCCCACTTTTATAATTGTGGATTATCAGATATAATTAGACCTTTCTCGTATAAAAGCATAAAATCACATCTATACATGTGCCGTGTTAATGTCTTCTTGTTTCTCTAGGTCAGCCGGCCAGTATTCTGGCAGGCAGCCATAGTGAAGGACTGTTGCAGATAGCTTCAGGGCCTCAGCCAGGACAGCAGCAGAATGGATTTACTGGTCAGCCAGCTACTTACCATCATAGTATGTACATACTTTTTAAAATTTTTTAAATAGTTGAGAAAAAATAGGCAGCCTTTATAAAAGCAAATTAATGCATATGGGCCTTAATTTTTAGACAGCACTACCACCTGGACTGGAAGTAGGACTGCACCATACACACCTAATTTGCCTCACCACCAAAACGGCCATCTTCAGCATCACCCGCCTATGCCGCCCCATCCTGGACATTACTGTAAGCTCTCGTTTTCATTGTAAGCAGGGCCCTTTTCTTTTCTAGCTAGGACTTTTGATTTCTGTTTTCTTAAAAAAAAAAAAAATGGTTTTGCATCTTTTATTCATCTTACAATTTAATTTTATTAAATGGTTAGTGCTTTTTACTTTTTCAGTATTTTTTTGTAAACAGTTATTTAAATAGTTATCATACCTCTGTGTTACACTAAGTCTGTGTCACTAAGTACATTCATTTCACTGTTGCGGGTGGTTCATCAACACTGCATTGACTCCACTCATTTGTTTGCTTTATGTTTTTAGGTCTTGTATGTGTATCCACCCACAGTTGACTTAAGCCCTGAGTACTATGACCTCAAGGTTTCCCTCACCACAGGATCATTGCAATAGATACAGGAGATACTTAGATGTTGAATCTATATAGGTGTCTTTTTCATATAGACGTCATTAGGAATGACACCCAACAGACAGTCCAGTTTCAGGCAGAATAGGAACACTGTTCATTTGACTTTAGAAATCATGGGTCTAGGGATGAACTAAAAAGTGGGGAGTGTAAGTCTTCCCTATTGCTTTTCTTTTCATTTTAAGATTAATAGTACAAAAATACTGGAACGTACAAAGGGCATAAATAATAATACTAGAGTCTTATAACCCAGGATGCTTCTAGTATATCCTTCCAGTCATATAAATGAATGTGTGTGTGATATGTGTACATGGAGGGAGGGTCATGCTGTATGCTTATTGTCACACATCAGGTACATTACTATCTTCCTATGTGGTCAGAGATGGTGATTTCTGGACCAGTGTGTACAGTTACTGGGTTTGCTCTATGATTGCTGTCACTTGTTTAAACTTATTAAGCCTCAAGGGTTGTAATTTTTATCTTCTTGAAGTAATATTGTAAAAAGTAATTCTGTGAAGTTTTTAGCATAGTGTGTTAACAAATAGTAAGCTTTCAATTATGATTGCTACTGTTCCAGTATGTAAATGTCCCTAACTCAATAAATGTAAGCATTTAGTTTCGGAAAGGTTAGCAATTTAAATCATTATACCTTGCACTATTAATTATACTATTATGTTAATATAATTTATAATCTGTATTAAGTATTGCATGTATAGCTGATAAATTGTTAAATAGGATTTGTCAGATAACACTAAGAGGTTAGCTGTTAATATCACAAAATAATTCACGAAATAAACTTAAATTCTTGGCATAAACTTGATCTAAATAAATTTTAAAGTTTATGATATTTATATTTAAGGTTTATTAAAAGTTTTAGCACTGGAAAACTTTTAATAAATAAAATGGGGTTTTTATTATGTTTTCTTTAGGGCCAGTTCACAATGAGCTTGCATTCCAGCCTCCCATTTCCAATCATCCTGGTAAGTATATTTCAATATTGATTTCCTATATGTAGATTTATTATGATAATTGGTATGCATATGCCAGTGGAGTATATTACAGGGTAACTAAACTCAGTGTAATATTCAGTGACTTAATCAGCAGTTAAGATTAGCTTATAGTCACACAGACTATATTTAGTTAAGTTTTAAATGAAAGAAAAATAAAAAACTATGTTTTAAAATCAGATGCTAAATATAGAATTGCCAGGTTTTGGCATTGAAATGCAGTTTCATAAATATGCAGCAGAAAGAACTAAGCTTAAGTAGAATAGCTTTAGAATTGGAGCTTAGAAATCCATGGAAGAGAGGCTAGTGGTGTGGTTTAGTGGGTGAAGGGGCTTGCTGCCAAGTCTGATGTGATCCCCAGGTCCCAGGTGTTAGAGACAGACTTTGACAACAGAAAACCCCTGAAAACTTGAGATGTCAAAGGCACAAACAGTAGGAGTTTTCTAATTCTGTTTCTTTTTAACTGTTTTTCTTCACTTCAGAAGATACACTTACAGTTAGTTGCCTCTCAGTATTCATGAGGTTCTGATCCTAGAATGCCCCTCAGATACCTGGTTCTAAGACTACTCAGGTCCTTTATATAAGACCATGTAGTATTTATTCTCATATGATTTACACATGCCTTTTAGTATATTATTTGCAAATATAGCATCAAAGAGACTTGAGGCAACTGCAGGTTTTGATGTCTAATAGCTCTTCTGGAACAACCCTTTCTGGACACAGGACAACTGTATGTTTCTAATAAAGACTTTAAAAATACAGCTACAATGACTTTTACCTATAAGTTAAAGGATAACTTAATGTTATATGTAGCTCAGTAGAAGATGGTCTGCAAGAATAAGGATGGTCTAGTTCTGAAGAAAGACAGGATATTGAATGGAATGTATAGTGGAAATAAGTAATGGCAGTTTAAATTTGCTTCATTCTTCTCACAGTGGCCCCTACTGTGTAGAGAATATATTGACTCTATGAGGTACCTCTGTAGTAGCCTGTATTGACATTGATACCTGTCTTTTATAGAACACACAAGTGTCTTAATGGCGAGTGCATCCTGAAAGGGACTTTTTTCCACCTAACTGCTGAAAGGAATAGTTGTGTAATTATACTTGTAGTGAAGCATCCATAGTTAGAACTCAGGTTTTGCTTGATGATTGATATGGGAGGGCCCAGCTTACTCTGGGCAGCGCCATTCCCCGGTTGGTGGTTCGGGTTGCTAGAAGAGGAGCAAGCCAGTTAGCAGTGTTCCTCCATGTGCTCTGCTTCAGTTCCTGACCTAAGCTCTGCCTTGACTTTGCTCAGGGGTGGATTGTGACTTGATACTTGTAAGTTGAAATAAACCCTTTTCTCCCTAAGTTGTTTTGGTCATGGTGTGTTATCACAGCAATAGAAACTCCAAGACAGAGATATAGGAAGATGTTAGTATCACAAGGCAAACCTCACCCTCCCCTCCTGTCTGGGCCGCTGCTGCTACCTAATGCTAGCCATACTCATGTACAGTAACCAGCATACACATCTATTTTCCTTATTGGATAAATAGAAAAGAAATAGTCTTCTCCCCACTATAGCCCTGGCTGTTCTGGACACTTAGTATTTAGACCAGGCTGACCTTAAATTCTCTGCCTCTGGAGTACTGGATTAAAGGGATACACTACCAATGTCTTACCTAAATATTCTTTAAAAGGTCAGTCACTCTGTTAAATGTTTTCTTCAGTATCTTTGAGGTTGTTTGTGTTTCAGGAGTATATTCATCTGCTCATAACAGATTTATAGGCATCAGATTCAGATCTGAGTTATAAAAAGAGTAAATAACTCCGTGAGTCTATTAGATATCCATCCAGATTTTGTATTACCTTATTTTTATTTTCAGAAATTAAAGATAATACTTTGGAGAGATACATTTTCCATTACAACTGTATAGTATTTGTAAAACCTGTGCTTTACAATCTACCCCCCTTTACAAATAGTATTTAGCTGAGTTCTTATATTACAAAACAAAAGAACCTCAAATCATGTGATTAATGTCTTCAGTTTTTTCATTTATTTATTCACTTTAACATCCCAGTCACAGCCCCCCTCTGTCTTCTCTTTACAGACCTCCCTCACAAGCCATCCCCTCCAATATTTCCTCTCCTTTTCCTCAGAGAGTGGGAAGTCCCTCTCCCTAACCCGCCCTGGCACATCAAGTTGAAGCAGGGCTGAGTGCACCCTCTATCACTAAGGCCTGACAAGGGAGCCCAGCTAGGAGAAAGTGATCCACAGTCAGGCACAGAGTTAAACAGCCCAATTGCTAGGGGATACACATGAAGACCAAGCTGCACACTTGCTACAAATGTGTAGGGGTCCTAGGTCCAGCCATACATGTTCTTTGGTTGGTGGTTCAGTCTTTGTTGAGCCCCCACAGGCCCAGATTAATTGACTGTAGGTCTTCCTATAGTGTCCCTAACTCCCATGGCTCGCTCGGTCCTTCCCCCAACTCTTCCACAAGACTCCCTGAGCTACACCTAATGTTTAACTGTGAGTCTCTGCATCTTTTTCTGTCCACTGCTGTATGAAGCTTCTCAGGGACAGTTATGCTAGGCTTCTGTCTACAGGCAGAGCAGAGTGTCATTAATAGTGTCAGGAGTTGGCTCTCTTCCATGGGATGAGTCTCGAGTTGAGTTAGACGTTGATTGACTTTTCCCTCAGTTTCTGCTCCATCTTTATCCCTGTGCATCTTGTAGGCAGGACAAATTTTGGGTCATAGGTTTTGTGGGTGAGTTGGTAACCCCCTCCCTCCACTGGAAGTCCTGCTTGGCCAGAGGAAGTGACCACTATCTCCAGTTACTAAGAGTCTCAACTAAGAGTCATCTCCATATTCTTGGAAGCCTTCCCCATTTCAGGTCTCTGGCTTGTCCCAGAGATGCCCCCACCCCCATTTCCCTTCTTCCAGTCTTCCCCTGCTGTCCCTCCTCTCCCCACACCTGATCACCCCTCCCCTCCCTCCAGTTCCTTCCCTCCATCCACCTCCAGTGTCTATTTTATTTCCCCTTCTAAATGGGATTCAAGTATCCTCCCTTGGGCCTTCCTTGTTGTTTAGCTTCTTTGGGTCTGTGGATTTTAGCATGGGTGTCCTGTACTTTATGGTTAACGTACACTTAGAAGTAAGTGCATACCATGTGTCTCTTTCTGGGTCTGGGTTCTCTCAGGATTTGCCTGTACATTTCATGAAGTACTCTCTGGCCTGAATAGCCCAAGTTTCATGTTTCCTGCTAGTCCTGAGAAGCTATAGACGTTTCTTTTATGTGGTTTGTCTTTGAGACAAAATAGCAAAGATATATGCAAAAAAAGCTTAAGGGGTATTTTTGTTTTTTCTTTCTTTTTTTTTTTTTTTTTTTGTCTTTTTTGAGACAGGGTTTCTCTGTATAGCCCAAGCTGTCCTGGAACTCACTCTGTCACCAGACTGGCCTTGAACTCAGAAATCTGCCTGCCTCTGCCTCCCAAGTGCTGGGATTAAAGGCATACGCCACCACTGCCCGGCCTTAAGGGATATTTGCTATTTGTTTTCCATTTTTAAAATAAAACCTTCCCTTCTGACTGCTGTGAATGAAAAAGCTTTTCGAAGTGAGGTAGGTTGTAGCTCAGCAGTACCAAGCTCTCTCCCACTTAGGTTACCTGTAGCCTTGTATTCTCATAGATGGAGATTCCTTCTTTCCACCTTTTTGAGTTTCAATTTTTGGTTTATGTTGTGACCTAATACAACTTCCTCTTCATTCTTAGTTGCTTAAAACTCTTGTCATCTATCAGCAGGCCAGCCAGTGCATGTTACCCTCCGTAAGGCTGCAGCTTACAGAAGCATCATTGTGCTGTGTAGTGTCTGGGGTATTAGGCAGACAGGATCTTGGTGGCAGGGAAGTAATGAAAGGTTTCATGTATTTGCAGATATTTCAGTTGATAATGATAAAAGTTTATTTTTCTTAAGCGTGGAGGTTACAAAACTTTCTTCTTTGAGTTGACTCTCGCCTATAATGATGAAACTTCAATTTCAGTAGAGATTGGGAAATACATTGTAATTGGAAGCCTCACCTTCAGCATTAGATTCATTTCATAATAAAATCTTTATTTTTATACTATCTACTCAAAGATCTTGTAAATGGTATTAGTTTTTATTACTGTCATAAAATTTGGGTAGTTTTTAGATTGTTTCAGTTTTAGCTTCAGTCAGTATACCTACTAGCTTGCTGATTACTATTGTTTATAACATAATATGATATCTTTAGTAACTAGAGTTGAGAGCAATGGCTACTCTTCCAGAGGATCTGGGTTTGCTCTTCAGTACCCACATAGCTGCTCACAACCATTTATAACTGCAGTTCTAGGGGCTCTGGTGTTCTCTTCTGGCCACTTTGGGTTCTTCATACATGTGGTTCACATACACACGCAGACAAACAGATGAGATACAAATAAATAAATCTGGAAGATTTTTACTATAGAAAATAACTTCAGAAATGTTTCAGTAACGTGTTTAATCAATCTTTAAGCTATATTTTATATGTTCTAAACAAATATATTTAAGGAATTATATTTGCAGTGAATTGTTTTGATGTTACAAAGTATTCAAACATTTTTGAGTCATCTACTCTTTTTCCTCTTCCTCCCTCCCTCTACCTTCCTTCCTTTCTTTTTTTTCTTTTTTTTATACACAATCTTCCTGTAAAATCCTCTGTAGTCCAGGCTGTCATCATTCACATTCTTCCCGAATTAGCTTCCTGAACACTGATGTCACAGGCATCCCTTTATGTGTTGTAATAACTCCTTATTGCAGAGTACTTTCTTTGTTGCTTGACAGAGCTTTGCCAAGCAATTGGGTTCCTTTGTGTATTAGCTACTTCTCTTACTGCTATGACCACACCTGAACAAAGAACTTAAGAAAGAAAAGATTTATTTTGGCTCACAGTTTGAGAATGTAGTTCACTATAGTGTAGGTGTAATGGTAG